ATGTTACTAAACACAATATAACTTAGCGATTGACTACCGCTGGTTTAGATGATAAAAAACATGGCACAACAAACTATCTTAGTTGCTAAAGTGAGTGTTTAATAGCCAAACTAACACTTTATCTAAGTCAGTTATAGGTATCATAGAAAAAATTTTAAATTTAAATGTGTAGAAAGTGTCATCATTTAGCATACAGTGGAGCCCAGCATCCAAAACATGGGTAGTCAGTCCCAGCACAAACAGCAACTAAACACAGTCCATAGATATGCTGGCTGTAACGGCACCCCCAGGCATAAAAGGGTTAAACCACCGTTTGATAGATCTTCCCCTTCCAGAGATACAGGCACAGCTACTGCAGAACACCAAACTCCCGAACCTCATGTAAGGGAATGCTCCAAACTCCCGAACTGCATACAAAATAGCACTCCAAACTCCCGAACTGGAACCTCACGAATAGCTGCTAGCAGACGAATAGGAAAAGCACCCAAGTGGCTTACACTCCTAGCAATCAGTCTCTATCAGCATACAGTAAATCCCCCCAAGAACGAGACAGAGCTCCGTGTTGAGGGTCAAGCAGTGGTCTGTTTAATGAGGGCTACCTGCCCAGTATTTATGCAGGTCTCCCACCTGGTGGACACTCCCCTAGGGGACCAAATGGGAGACTGTGACAAAGACATTGTAGCAACCAATCAGAGGGTACACACTTAGCCATTCCCCTCTGCTCTGCTCAGGGAGATAATTGTGAAGTAATTCAATTATCTCCCAGGACAGAGACCAAACGCCATTTTAGGTGACAATAACAAAAAGACATAAAAATACATAACTTATATTTTACCATATTTTACAGGCATTCAACAGGTCCCCAGATAGCTAGGATCTGAGCGCACCAAAGTACCGAATAGCGCTCAGATCCTATGCACACAGTCCAATTGCCGTGGAGCCAAAGTGTTCACAAAGTCAGTTTTCATACGAATGAGCTCCACGAGATTCCTATCTGAGGTATGGTGTATTCGGGTACAACTACCGAATATAGAGCCGTTCGTGCACGTCTACCGAACAAGAAGGGAGGTCGGCGGGTTCAGCGGTGTTCGCGCCCAAAATGTATCTGTTTTCAGTTCCATGAGTTGGTCGTCGAACACCGCTGTGCGTTTGCATGTTTAAAATGGCCGCGACCTCGTGTTCGGTATACGAATGGCGGCCACCCAGCATTCGTCAATTAAGCTCCGGTTAACTGCAGCTTCTGGGAGGTTAATTGCCGACACACTCCAGCTCCCAGGTGGTCCAGTCATTAGTGCATTAGTTCGGTAGATTTAATCTACCGACCGCCGGGCAGAAAGGCACGAATAAGCCTTTTCTGCCTGGGAAAAGAAGGCTTTTAACATGGGACCATAGTCCAAAGGTAACAGGCGAGCAATGCAATGTGACGAGATTGGTCTCGTCACACTGGCTTATACTCAAAATCATGTATAAAGTAGATGAAATAAATCATTGGATGTATAAAATATCTATTGTATTGAAATGGTCTCAAAACAGAAATTAATTGCCTCAGAGCAGTTCAAGACATGAAAGAGCATATCCCAGGAAAATAGTGTTTCTTGCAGCAAGACAATTAAATTGACACTATAATCAGAAAAACAACTTATGTTAATGAACCCGTTTTTGTGTATAGACCATGCCCCTATAGTCTCACTGCTCATTTCACTGCCATTTAGGAGGTAAACCACTTTTGTTTCCGTTTATGCAGCCCTAGCCACAACTCCCCTGGCTGTAACTGACACAGCCTGCATTAAAACAAAATGGTTTAGTTTTCAATAAGATGTTACCAACTTTAAAGGTTTTTCATCTCCTGCTCTGTACTTTAATTACAGGAGACTCCTGCAGGGTCCTACCAGGCTATTAACAGAGCAGGAGAATAGAAATTCTAAATTAAACATCATTTGCAATAAAGGAAGTGTAAAGATTAGATCTCACTTTATAGGATGTGTTTAGGAATGCTGTGCAAGTCACATGCAGGGAGCTGTGACTAGGGCTACATAAACAAAGCGATTTAACTCCTAAATGGTGAAGAATTGAGCAATGAGACCTCAGGTGCATGACCTATACACCAAAACTGTTCCATTAAGCTAAAGTTATTTTGGTCACTCTAGTGTCCCTTTAATTTAGGCACCAATAGATGGGTAATATGGTACATAAACAACATATGGTTACATATTACTGTACAAGAATAGAAAATCAACAGATAAAGTCTATCTTATCTGTGTTTGGAAGCTACTTGTTCTAGTTGTAACAATCTATCGGGACCAGGAATATTATGTAAACGTAAATTATTGACTAATAGAAAAACATATTTTCGCGTGCCCACCTCAATCAAAATAATGACACAAACCAAAATATTCCTTTTACTCAGTGAGAAAAATCATAAATCTGCAAATATTAGCAACCCTTGTTTATTTGAAGTAGCATTTGCAATAGGTGTGGTGTAAATACAGAGCTTAGGAAACTGGGGAAGTGAGTAATGTTTACTGGTGAAGCCATTTCTTATATTATTTTTGTATTTCCTGAAGATTATTTCATTTTCTAGCAAAAAAACCAAAGTAAAATAAAAAGAGGAGCCTTGAATGTCAGCGTGTCAGGTTAAAAGGTAAGTGAAATGTCTCTAATTGTCATTTGGTACATTTTGATCAATGAAAGCCTAAAACAATGAACTGAAAATTTGCATAAAATTGTTTTGTAGGTGTTAAAAACTGAAGTTTTTAATTTCAATATTCATACAGCTTTATACTGGAGAAATGGTAAATATATTTATATAAATGAATAACCCTTTAGTTTCAGAGTAGTTATGGTGAATATGAATAGAAATTATCACTTAAGTTAGGGAAAATCTATCAGGGTTAACTAGAGTGAGAATTCAAATGTGAAATACTTTATATTTTACGCCCCTATGAACTGCAGTTAAACAAATTATCCATCATTTATCCATCATTCAAGTTGCCCAGACCACTTCATTTCGAAGAAGTGGTTTGGGTGCAGAGACATCGATGCAGGTTTTGCTGGAGGCTGCAGTGAAGGACTCTCGACACTGAAAATGAGGTAAGTAAAGTAGACTCATTCTGTAAAAGTTCTAATTTTTTGGGACTGTAAATTCATTCTAAGCAATTCCCCATGTACCCCTGTCATCCCCATGCCACGTAAGAGCCACTGTGTGTCTAGCAGACACCTTGACATTCTATTTAGCGTTACTTAAAGCTACCAAATTATTGTTCAGTTTTTCAGGGATATTATTGGTTACTATACTCAGCAGGCACATTTATTTAAGCTCTTAACAAGGATAAATTAATTTGATGTAATGATGTAGGAATAAACACAGAAAAAAACTTCTAAGATCACCCAATGGCCACTATTATTTAATCTAAAATGAATTGCCTCTTTCTGTCTTTATTTAAATAAATTCAAATTGAACCATGTGGATTGTATTATAAGAACATTTCTACCATGAATATGAAATCTGTTCTTTTGTATTCATAAATGTAATTCCCTATTAGAATTATTGTGTAAAGATACTTTTGAAATATTCTTTTGCAAAATCATATGTGGTTCCATACACACTATAACTTTGCCTGTGGGAAAGGCTGGCATTGCCCACAACAGATTCAGGGTATTTGATATGCCAGTGATACAACTAAACTCCGTCCTAATCCTTTTAATTGTTTAGCCTTTAGTAATCAGGGTAGCATGTCGGTTGAGGTTACACACAATATAAATAGGAGTGATATATCCGTGCACATAAGGAGTCTAGGTTCTGTGATCCATCAGTCAGAGAAGTACAATGAATCGAGAGGTAAATTGCTTTTAATTTCTTATTTAACTTCTAAAACAAGCAGCCTTTATCCAGTAAGCAGAAATATTTCACAAATTGACCAGGTCATTTCACATTTTAAATCAAAATAGTTTTTTTTTTTTTTTACCCTGATATTAGCAATTCCAATAGTAATCTTTAACAATTCCAGTTTAGTGAGTAATCGTGCATCTGTTGATCTGTACATTCAATGCTGAGATTTGTTTGTTTGTCTCAAAAATCTTAGAAGCTAGCTGATTGCATATCCTTTATGAATTAACTTGTATGTAAAGAAAGATTTACTAAGCAGTGAAACAGTAAGAACTCTTATGACAACATTATAACAATTTGTCATTGGGGGGAAAGAAATCTCTCACTGGACAAGGATGCTGAAACTGGCAAAAGGGTACTAAAAAAAGTAGAAACATACAGAATTATTCACAAAAGTGAATTGTTGGAAATTTAATGCCAAAATGGCTAAACTGGAAGCATAGCTGACTTGGTTAATTTTTCCAGGTCAGATATTTTGGCTTTAAATTTGAAACTCTCAATTTAGTCTGAATTTAGTCTGAACTCTCAATTTAGTCTGAATTCACAACAATGCTCACTTTAAAGGACCACTATAGTGCCAGGAAAACAAACTAATTTTCCTGGTACTATAGTGCCCTGAGGGTGCCCCCACCCTCATGGCCCCCCTCCCGGAGGAAGGGGTTAAACACTAATCTTTCTCCAGTGCCGGGCTCCCTCGGCGCTGGTGACTCTCCTCCCTCTTTGGCTGAATGCGCATGCGCGGCAAGATACCCACAGTGAGAAGCGCGGAAGCGCCTCTAGCAGCTGTGAATGAGACAGCAACTAGAGGCTGGATTAACCCTAATGTAAACATAGCAGTTTCTATGAAACTGCTATGTTTACAGCAGGCAGGGTTAAACCTAGAGGGACCTGGCACCCAGACCATGTAATTGAGCTGAAGTGGTCTGGTTGCCTATAGTGGTCCTTTAATAAACAGCCCTGTGTATTCCATTACATTTACATTGCAGTTTAAGTTATTATGTTTTTTTCTTAAGATAAAATGCTGTTTTGGTAGCATTTTTAGGCTTTATACAATTCTGTTATATTAACGGTAACAATATGTTTTTCATTATTAATCATGTTTTGATCACAGGAAATGAGCGCTACAGAGTCATACAAAGCTCTTGTCAAAAACATTGATACCTCAGATTTTACAGGAACCCAGGTTCTGTGTGACCTACTTCTTGCTGGCGAAAAAGCATTTCCAGTTGTGGTGAACACGGAAGGTCAAATTCTTATAGCTGCTTCTCAATACGGCAAGGGTCGTATCGTAGTAGTAGCACATGAAGCATACGTATCAAGTTCTAACTTTACCCAGTTCATTGATAATGCAATAAAATGGCTGAAACCCTCAAAAGATTCTTTGGTTGGGGTCCATGAAAAGTTCTCTTCAATGGTACAATCTCTCGCTAACAGAGGCCATGCCGTGGAGTCTACCTATAATTTTTACACTAAATATGGAGTCTACTGCATGCATGCCTATGATGATAGACAATCAAGTGAACTCATCTGGGCTTTAAAAGCAGGACATGGCTTGTTAATTGGAGGACAAGCTTGGTATTGGATGACTAAGAACAAGCTGAAAAATGTCCTGTTTGATTTTCCAGGAAACAAGGTGGCAAGTGTAGCTGGTATCCAATTTTTTCATAATTATGGATTCAAAGATATGTTTGCCATAACACCAGAGATACCAACACGTCCTCTTATTGCAAAGTAAGTACTTGGTATTCATGAAAAATATAAAACTGCAATACATTTACTGAATGTAAGAATAGTATGAAAAGCGCAAGCTTCTGAAAAGTACCCATACAAATAAAACAAAAAATGAATAGATAAAGTTCCTTGTTTATATGCGTGTAGTCAATGTAAAACATAACTTTTGATGAACTTTTTTTGTAACAATGGTAGTGATAGAAGTTTTTTTTGTCACACCCTATTTTATAAAAAAAAAAGTAGTAAGTGATTATTCTTTATTTCAGAAAATCATGCTTATGAACTTAAAAAAATAAATTACATGTAATCCATCTGTTGATCTATTCTATTTCCATGTATTACATGCAAGTTGTAGCGTAAAATGGTAATGCCGGGCAAACGAGGCAGCTGCCCTGGGCCCAGTTACTCCTGGAGGGCCCAAGGCAGCTGCCCCGTGGGCCCCGCTGCCCTCAAAAAAAAATTTCCCCGTCCTCTAAGGAGTCCCACCGGGTGGCCCATGCACTTAGGGCTTCCCAATGGGCTTGTAACAGCAGGGGCCCGGTCGGGCTCTGTGGCCCTTTAACAGCGCGACTGAGCCACTTGCTTTTTGGCAGTATGGGAGGAAGTGACAGCCGCGAGTCACTTCCTCCCATAAAAAGAGGAGCTGCACAGGAGGGGGCAGCCTGGGCAGGAGGAGTCGCACGGGAGGGAGGAGGTGGCGGCAGCAGCAGTGAGGATGGAGGCTCCTCACTGCCATCAGCCTCAGGCACCACACTAGACTCCAGGGAAGCCACCCAGCAAAAGGTAGGAAACTGGAGGGTGGGTTTAAAAAAGTAAATTTTACATGTGTGTTAGTATGTGTTTGTGTTTGTATGTCTGTTTTTCCAGGAGGCCAAAGCAAATGCTTGACCAGGGTCCAATCATTATTAAGCCCTTAAGGACACATGACGGAAATATTCTGTTATGATTCCATTTATTTCTGAAGTTGTGTCCTTAAGGGGTTAAAGACTGTCCTGGGTGAATATATATCTAGAGGAAAAGGAACTGAGATAAATAATGTCATCAGGAGGTATGAAAGTTCAATATAATATTGTGGTAAGCTTAGCTGAACAACCTTGTATCATATGCATTGTTAATTTAATGTGGTTTCAAGACAAGAAATAATTGTAGAAGATGAGCATTCTCTATGTTGGAAATTAACATTCTCCAGGAGTTTAAAATTATTTTCAATATTAAAAAGGTTTAGGATGTCTAGCACTATAAGGGTGAAAGTTAAGTTTCAACAGTTAAGATACATATACATAAATTATTCGTAGAGTTATTTTATACCCAAGTAATTACTTTTACTTCCAAATTATAGTACATAATATTAGATTAAAGGCTACTCTAAGTGATTCAATTTCAATCATATGTTCTAGAGTGTGTACATGTATTGCCACCAAACCCACTGAGACCCTGGTTTTATGAATGCATACATGGTCATTTATGAATCTCAAAGAATTAAGTAAATTATTCTTGAGCATGGTTATTCGGTATCTTGTTCATCTTGCTAGACCATCTGCTATACATGTGGCAGCAGGAGGTGCAGAGCTCTTGGGCCATTGAGAAAAGCATAGCCATTTGCAAGTGTTTTCCCTGAGTACTATTATTGCTCCATGAATGAATTTTCACCTGATATATATTGGCCAAGAAAATATTTATTTATGTCAAAATAATTAAAATAGTGGTGCTTTTCTGTTTTCAGGTATGTGTGGAACGTTTCTGAAGATGGTAAGCAGTTGATGAATGGAATATCTGAGTTGCATATATTTGACAGTGGTACCCCATCCAATCTTCTTGTTCACGGGGAAAGGGCCTTTCCTCTTGTAATAGATGAATCCAATAAAACGTATCTTGCTGCATGTTATTATGGAAAAGGCAGGGTTGTAGTTGCAACACACGAGGATCAAATTAGCAAATCTCACCAAAAACAGTTAATTACTAATCTAATCTCTTGGCTAGATGCCGGAAGGGATGGAATAGTTGGCGTACAAAGAGACTTATATGAACTTCAAGCTCATCTTCATGAACATGGTTTTGCCAGTAAACGCTCAGACTTCAACAAACTTTTCAGTGTCTATTGCTGTACATCATATACAAATAATTATGCTCAAAAACTACAGGAATTTGTTGCAGAGGGTGGTGGATTACTCATTGGAGGACAAGCATGGTATTGGGCTTCCCAAAATCCTGGTATTGATGAGCTCATCAACTATCCAGGAAATAATATTATCAACCATTTTGGTATAAGTATCATAGCTGGAAGAGATGCATCATATAAACTTAAAAAATTACATTTTGAGAACCTCAACGAGAAATACCAGTGTCGAAGAGCTCTTTCGCAGCTTCAGTATGCTTTAGACAACAATCAAATGATCCATGCTCCACTTTCCTCCTGGATTGTCAAATTAGCTGAAGATTGTGCAATACTTCTAAGCATTGGAGAAAATGACAGCCAGACTTTTCATTCTTTAAAAAAGACACTTGTAAATCTTTTGCTGAAGTTTGGTATACCAGAGGTCAGTAATGATAGGCGAGTGAAAAGAGGCAGCAAGGAGGCTTTTCTGTTGAGAGTGGCTGCAGGACTTCGAAATACATTGCCCAACTTTGAAAACCTTGCGGCAAAGCTGGTTCCAACTTCTATAACTCTTCCTGTGACTTCACTTGGGAGCCTAGAAATTAATGGCACAAGTAAAGGCAAGTTAATTTAGCAGAGGAAGATTGTACTTCTTCTGTTGCTGAATACTGTTGTAGATAAATGTGGAAAAAAAATAGTCAGAGATGATTATTATTATTGAAAGTCTACTTCCATTTTTTTTTCTATATTCTTGAAGTGCTCATGTACAGAAAAAATTCAGTGCTGCCCCCTGTGGGCCAAAATTGTAATTATTAAATGTAAATTAAAAGTGTATACCTTTAGATAAATAATAAAGTGCATTATTAAATTTTTGTATTGCTTTATTTAAAGGGACATCATAGTCACCAGACCAACTACAGCTTAATGTAGTTCTTCTGGTGAGTATATTTGCTGTAAAAACTGCCTTTTCAGAGAAAAGGCGGTGTTTACATTGCTGCCTAGGAACATGTCTCGTGGCAACACCTCTGACGGCCACTAGAGGTGCTTCCTGGATATGTGCTGCACACTGCAGCGCTGTCGTTCAGCGTTTCAGCGCTCTGCATGCAGACGCTGAACTTTCCCCTTAGCGATGCAGTGATTGTCTAAGCCAGCTTTTCCTATGGGAGAGCATTGGATTCACTGTGATCATCAATTCTGATAATGTCAGCCAAGGAGGTAAATTGGGGGCCGGGCCACCACATGCAAACAAGTGCGGCGCTGCAAATAAGGTAATTTCTTTAACCTTTTAAGGGGAGTGGGGGAGGGGGTGGGGTGGGCATCCACCTAAATGGTGGTTTTAACACTATAGGGTCAGGAATACACATTTGTGTTCCCGACCCTATAGTGTTCCTTTAAGATTCTAAACCAAGCTGAAGGAATCTCACTATAGGAAAACTGTAAAAGTCAATTGCCTACCTCTTGACAGTAGCAGTTCGTGGCTTTGTATGATATCTCCTTCTACATGTGCAATGTCATAAATTGGTGTTAGATAACAGATTTTTTACGTTTTAAGTTTAGTGTTACACAGTATTATCTGGTTAATTTCCCATTACTTGGAGATGATATATATGATGTTCAGTTAAAACAATCATTCTTATAAATAAACTATAAATATATAATTTGATTGTTTCTACAGCCTAGTTTAGTTTTTTCCGTCCCAGTCTCCAAGGTATGCTAGCGGTCCAGGTTTGGTCAGTATCCCCAATGGAACCGAACAGGGAAATGCAAACATTCTCAACTGTTAGTTTGTCTTGAATGATGCCCTAGATTCTTAGGAACTGGTAAATAGATTATATATTCAGTATTATTACATTTTACATCTGATTTATTGCAGGAAACGAAGCATGGAGAAGTACTGGATTTTATGTTCCCCCAGGAAAAATTGCTAAAGTGAATTTTCCAACAGCTGCAGTCAATATGGGACTGGAGGTAATTCATAAAAGAAAATTGTATCTAAAAAAAACTAGAAGGTTGTTAAAACACACTGACACATATTGCATGGTGTTAAATATTTCTTTATTATTTTTGTTTTTCAAGTGTTATTTGATATATCGTGTGAAAACAAATTGTAGTATGTATCAGTACAAAATAGGTAGCTATGCTGCATCAGATGTATGGTTAGTTAAGCAGAGGTAACAAGATAAAAGAAATCCAGAAGGGGGCGGGGTGCTGATCATGTAGCTGAATGGACGCAACTTGCTTCGGCTCTTCGCCAATTCTGGTTAAACAGTGCCTATAAAGGTGATCTAAACCCAATCCTGGAAACGACTACTAGCCAGCAATTGGAGACTCTTGGGCATTCATAGGATTGAGTGTCATCACTCATACTTCTGGTTATTAGTACATGGCCTAGGCGGGATAAGCGGCCGGTCTCCCGAACCTGGCCTTGATGTGTCTACCCTGCAAACTATCAGAACCCTGTACTCCCCCCCCCCCACTCCAGTGGGCTGGTGGGGGTTATCCTGGTCTCCACCAAGGGTTGCCAATCTACCAGGTCGAAACAGTGACCACAACTTGGATCCCAGCGGACAATCCAAAATGGCCACCGCTGCTAATGCCTCAAGGCCAATGGTGTATTTAGGATTTGTGCTGCCCTAGGCAGGACGGTGCTCGGGCACCCCCCAATTTAAATTTTCCTCTCCCCTTACTGTCAAGGTCGCACTTTGACTGACAGATGCACACTCACTGACAGACGCACACTCGCTGACAGACGCACACACTCTCATATACACTGAAAAACAATGACATACACACACACTCATTTATTTGACACACACTGACAGACTCAGAGTCACTGACAGACTCAGACTCATTGACAGACGCAGACTCACTTACAGACGCAAGCACTGACAGACGCACACACGTACTCACAGACCGACACACACTCACTGACTGACACACGCACGCTGACTGACACACGCACGCACTCACTGACCGACACATACATACTCACTCAAAGACACACACATTCACTCACTCACAGACACACATATACACACACATTTCCACTAACACTCACAAATTATTATTTTTTAAATTTTATTTTAAATCCACCCAGCCTCCTTTGGATAGCTGGAGTGGATTGCTTACCTGCGATTCAGTGGGGCTGTTGCGCGGGCAGGCAGGCGGGCAGGGGGCGGACAGGCTGAGTAGGCGGCGAGGGAGCTCTAATCTTCCTGCTCAGCTCCCTCGCGCACCGCTTAGTGGTGCCGGGAGCCGGAGTGACGTCATATTCCTGCTCCTGGCTTCATTAAGTGGCACACGTGGGAGCTGAGCAGGAAGAGCTCAGGTGAGCATGCTCCTTTGCTGTCGGCATGGGGGGGGGCTCAAAAGTGGCCAGTCGGCCAGCTCTTGAGCCCCCCAGGACACGAGGAAAACAAGGGATCTGCCTGGGCGTTTGGGGGACGGCTTTTTTGGCCGTCCCCTGCAAAGTGCAGCCCAAGGCAGATGCCTTGTTTACCTCGTGTAAGATACTCAAGGGACACATTCATGGAGCGAATAATACAGCGTAAACTCACCTTCGCAGAAGCATTGGGCACTATCTGCACCCGGTTCTGAGAGACTTGAGGCCTGGCAGAGCAGCCCTCCAATACCTGACATTCAGCTGATCCTTCCGGCGAAGGCTTTGGTTGGTGACTCCCCACCTAGACCTGAACTCATCCAGGTAGTTACACCTGTGCACGGTCCACACACTCAAGGAATTCACTGTTCTACCGCCATGCCAGGTGCCCGTTGGAGATTTGCCTGGGACTCTGACTTACCCCCCCCCGACATTTGATGTGGGCTTTTATAAAGGCCTGGGGCTGGAGCAGCAGTGTACTTGGGACAGGGGGCTTATCCTCAGTGGACATATATGGCATTCCTACCCTGTTGGACAACCTTTTGAGACACTATCCCATCGGGTGAATAAGACACTTTTTGCGCTGTTATTTTTATTTTATTTTAATCTGTGCACAACACTCTCCTCTCTATTTTTACTCGCCCTTGGTTTGTCATTTGATGTCTGTATGGTCCTGGCCCTGGATCCCTGCTGGTCCTTCGCTCTTCCTTTCAGCGTTGCTGCTGTCACACTCACAGTCTAAAGCTCGTCAGTGCCCAATGAATTGCACCCAGATTCAGCATGTCCTCTAGCTAACACATCATCCCCACCAGCATTGCATTATATTATAGGGCTGACAGGCTTCTGCTGTCTACTGTTTGATAGCAACATGGTAAATCTTCTTATTCTTTTGTCTTGTTTTATTTTATTACATAACTTGAACTAGCATGTTCTTCTGTAAAGAACGTTAAGGCTCTCCCTGCCTATCACTTCCCATGTGTTTATAATATCTTGATAGTCCTGTGTGCTATGACAAGGTTGCATAGCTTGCTTATTAAATTACATTTCACAAAAACAAAATGTCTTTCCACGGACATGCACTCAATGTCCTCAGACGTGTTTGTCTAGCATGACCTTTTCTTTACACTATAAAATTGTGCTGCACCATCATACTGCCATGTACCGTGTACACAATGTTTTGCTAATAGTTACCCTGTATTCATTGCTATACCTGTGTATGCTGTTGTTGCATTGCAAGTTTTATTGTACTCTTGAGAACAACCAAAATAAAGAATAAAAAAAAAGGAATCTAGTATATCCACTCATAAAAGCGGAAGGTTAATTTTGAATATGTTTTGAAAATTTCAGGTGCAGGTCGGCTGTCACTCAGATGACCTCAGTAATCTTCCTGAGCTGAAACGCCCCCCAATTGTGACACAGCGATATGCAGTTACCCAAACCACTTTACACGTCTCTAATATTTTTGGTGGCCTCCTCTACGTTATCATTCCAAAAGGTTGTAACTTAGGACAAATAATGATAAGCATAGAAGAAGCTGTTCTTGCTCCGTATTTCAAGCATGGTAAATATTATAAGATTTTGGTAGAATATAACTACAGTATTGTTTTCATATATACATTTGCTAAAAAGTTGAGTTGCACCTGCTTGCACATGTGTCTCTGTGGCGCAATCGGTTAGCGCGTTCGGCTGTTAACCGAAAGGTTGGTGGTTCAAGCCCACCCAGGGACGTGTATTTTACACCTGGTATGGTAAATATACAATGTAAAATCAATGCTCTCATATTTGTGCTTTAAAAATTACTTTTTAAAAATGGAATTTCAAGCTATTTTTAAATCTATATATTAGAGAAGCTATCCTCAACATGATGAGGGAATTAAGAATTATTTAAATCAGATTTTTTTTTTATCATTCTTTCTTTTAGCTGTGAATAGTAATACATAAAAAAATTTGCCCAGCCACAACAGCTGTTGAAAGTACAAAGTAAAATATGAGATAGCATTTGCATGGCTTCAATAAAACTGCACAATTTTTATTTTTATTTTTATTACATAAAGTAACTTCAGGCTAAGCGGATATGTCTAGAGAGGGTGTTATATACTATATTCAGTAAGTTAAAAAGAATGTATAGCCATGATGCTTGGTTAAATAAAGCGTAGGTGGTCAGGCTAGGCACACATGTTTGTAGTGAGATCATGAAGTTAGCTTGTAGGCTAATAAAGCCCACCAGACATATATGAGATAAACTAATTATAAACAAGATGAGCACTGCACTTTATAACAGTAATAGGTAAAGAAACAGCAAAAAACACAGCTCTAATAATTTGTGATAAAATGAGTGTAGGTATGGCAGAGAAAGTTGTAGAGCTGGAGATTACTGCAAGAGGTAAATACCACAGAGGGGGTTGGTGATACTATGGCAGAGCACTGTAGTGGGGTTATCAAGCACTGTGCATTAGGAGAACAGCTGCACAACAGCCCAGCAGTAGGTAAGACCCATGTGCCACCTAACCTATGCCCCTGGTTAGAGAGACCCAGCTCCCATTACCCTCAGCCACTCCAATGATTCCTTACCCTGAAGCGCAAGCCCTCAGAGAGTCCAGTCCAAGACTTCCCAGGCAGACAATCTGTGTGTCAGTCGGAGTTCGCTGCTGTAGACTCGCCGTTACGCACTCCCAGCTGCGTGACTCTGGAGCAGCATGGACACGCAAGCAGGGCGAATACGTTGCGGTAGGTTCTGGCGGCCACTATCGTGCTGCGCCTCTCTGGGAACATGTGAGGTAGCCATGCACTTGCGGCGGTGAATGGTAGGGTGGCTCCTAGGTGCCATGCGTTGAACAGCAGGAAAAGAGGTGCACTGCGGCTGAGGTAGGCTATGGGATGTTCTCTGCCATCGTGCTTGACCTGGCTTAGCACAGCTCCTAATCCAAACATAGTAGCAAATGTGTGAATGAGAAAACACTTATTCGGATTAGGAGCAGCCATTTATCAGGGGGTCCTTGAGGGCTTGGAACACCTGCTCACACCACGGGTCCAAGTGTACCTGCCTGGGCTGGTTCTTTTTGGTCATGTCGGTGAGGGGTTTAGCTATGGCACTGTAGTTGGGGACAAACTTCCGATAGTCCCAAGTGATAGGAAAGCCATCACTTGGGTCTTAGTGCAGGGACAGGGCCAGTGAGCTACTGCCTCAACCTTGGCTGGCTCTGGCTTCTGCTTCCCACACCTGGTGTCCCAGGTACTGCACTTCTGCCATAGCTATGTAACACTTACTGGGTTTTAACGTCAACCCTGCTTTCCTTATTCTGTCTAGTACTGATCCCACGTGTACCAGGTGCTCCTCCCAAGATGTTGTCAAGGTAAGCACATGCATAGTCCTGGAGGCCATCCAACAGTCTGTCCACCATCCTTTGGAAAGTGGCCGGGGCATTATTTATTCCAAATGGCATTACCTTAAATTGGTATTGGCCAAATGGAGTGACAAATTCCGACTTGGGAATAGCATCTGCCGCTAGGGGGATCTGCCAGTACCCCTTACACAAATCTATAGCGGTGAGGTACTGGCCCCTGAGCCATCCAGTCTAATAATACAAACACAATAGGTGGAGCAAATTATATACTTTCCTCTCTTCTTAGTAAGTCTAGTAATGCTGTAAAGATAGAGAGGTATATAATAGTGCAGATATCTTAAAACCATATATGTATATACTGCTTGTTACAAGAATGCACTCTCAAGAGTAGAGCCATATACCGAACCTGACTCTGGTGTGGATGTCCTCAGGATCTTTAAGGGTAATCCAAATCCCCCTGTGGATAGTCTGGATACCTGGAGTGTTGTAGTCTCCTCCCAGCAGTAAATTGCAGAAAATCCAAATAGGGTTAAAACAAAATTTATTTGGTAAAACACATGGATAAAATAAATGTAACTTTAAATAATATTCTTCGGTATTTGTTACCCCACTCTGGATTGAATTCTGTGTATATATACACATCATGATTGCACTGTCACTTTAAACACTTGTCGTCTGTATTTTCAAACTATGAAAGCAAAATATTGAGCAATATGTGATCAAATGTATTTAATATTTATTTTTCATCTTTCCAATATTAGACAATAAGTCAAGATGTCTATGAATTTTTATGTATTAAATATTGTGCTCAAGCATAGAGGTATTAAAGACTCCTTCAGTTATACTTATAGACTCAGTGGAACGCAAGGTGCGTTCCAGACACGCTGAGTGGTTATATGATTGTAAAGGACGTAAGCAACAGGAAGAGCGTTGCTGATCTAATGGAACGCAAGGTGAGTTCCAAACACGTCGGATATCCACAAAACCGGATATGACGCAAACAGGAAGTAGAGTATCGACAGAGAAAAAAAGACCGCGAATTAGAAAACAAGCAGCATGTAAAGAACAGAATGGTGATATCAGCAAAGCCAACTGAAGAAGCCACGCTAGGCGAAACGCGTTTTGTTATTATATTGGACATTATTAAGAGATTTTATTTACATTTATTTTATCCTTGCGTTTTACCAAATACATTTTGTTTTAACCTGTGACGAGAGCAATCTCGCCACATTGCATTGGAGGAGCCTGGTTGCCCGTCTGCTCCCTTTAGACTATGGACCTGACTTTTAAAATACTTTATTTTCCCTGCAGAAAGGCTTATTCATGCCTTTCTGCCAGGGCGTTCGGTAGATTTTATCTACCGAACAAAATACCGAAGGCGGACTACCGGGAAGGGCTGGAACAGGGCTACCAGCAGCTGTTCCACTCCAGGGAGAAGGCTCAGCAGGAGAGCAGAGTGACAGACCCAGAGCCAGACCCATTCAGCTGGGACGAGATAGTAGAGTTTTACTGGGAAGAACCCCAGGTGGCTGGTGGAGATGGGACCGAGGTTGGTCCTGTCTCCCAGCGGCAGAGTGTCCTACAGGGAATAGAGAGCCCAGTCTCCTTTCCCCAGCAGCAGGACACTGTATTGGGAGCAGAGACAGTCGGTCTCCTTCCCCAGAGGCTGGAAGTATGTATGGGAGAGGAGCTTGCTACCCCCTCTCCCCAGCGGCAGTGTGATCTACAGGGAATTGAGAGCCCAGTCTCCTTTCCCCAGCGGCAGAGTGAGTTAAAGGGGGCAGGGACAGTTGGTCCTGTCCCCCAGCGGCAGAGTGTCCTACAGGGAATAGAGAGCCCAGTCTCCTTTACCCAGCAGCAGGACACTGTATTGGGAGTGGAGACAGTCGGTCTCCCTCCCCAACGGCTGGAAGTAGGTATGGGAGAGGAGCTTGTTATCCCCTCTCCCCAGCGGCAGCTTAACTCACCAGGGGGAGACAGTATGCCCCACAACCGTGCAGATGGGACCGTTGCCTCTGCACTTACAGCACAGGGGGTAGGGACGGTCGGTCCTGTCCACCCTGCAGCAGGGCTGTTTAGCCAAAGGGGAGACAGTCGGTCCTGTCTCCCAGCAGCAGCATGTGTTACAGGGAATTGGGAGCACCGTCTCCATTCCCCAGCGGCAGAGTGTCCTACAGGAGTGTCCTACAGGGAATAGAGAGCCTAGTCTCCTTTCCCCAGCTGCAGGACTGTGTATTGGGAGCGGAGACAGTCGGTCTCCCTCCCCCGCTGCTGGAAGTATGTATGGGAGAGGAACTTGTTACCCCCTCTCCCCAGCGGCAGCTTGACATACCCAGGGGAGACAGTAAGCCCCACAACTGTGCAGATGGGACCATGGTCTCTGCACTTACAGCACAGGGGGTAGGGATGGTTGGTCCTGCCCCCCAGCGTCAGGGCTGTTTAGCCAAAGGAGAGACAGTTGGTCTCCCCCCACAGCAGCAGAGCTGTGTATCCAAAGGGGTGACAGTCGGTCTCCAGCAGCAGAGCTGTGTATCTAAAGGGGAGACAGTCGGTCTCCCCCTCCAGCAACCAGGCTTCAACCAGGCTACTTCCACGGTAGCGCTGACACCAGGGCAGAGTACTGCTGGTCTCTACCCACTCAGCAACCCACTAAGGCAGCCTACCAGTCCCCCACACAGCTGTGGTGAGGCACCTGAACATGGACAAGTTTCTCCCTTACCCAGGTGTAGTAACCATTTATTGTGGGTGGGCTGTATTACTGGTTGTGCTTTGTAGGTGGGCTGCTGGACTAACCAGGGCACTGACCGGCAGGAGGTCAGATACCCTGTTAGTCTGTCTGGAAAAGGGGAGAGATGTGACGAGAGCAATCTCGCCACATTGCATTGGAGGAGCCTGGTTGCCCTGTAGGGTCGGGAATACATGTTTGTGTTCCTGACCCTATAGTGATCCTTAGGTAAGTGAGGCAGTAACTTACTTGCGACCTGTTTGGTATGTTGGCTGTTTGTAACAACAATTTGAAATACTCTTCATTTAGTCATGTACTCAGTACTCATGACTGCAGTTTGCCTGACCTGGGGTAGGGTTGCTGGTTTACGGCCTGATTATTATAAATATAATTTCCACAGAGCTTTAAATTGGTTCCACTGGTTTCCATGGTGATTGCCCCCCTTTCAGTAATTTCGACTACTTTTTAGAACACAGCACATTGATAAATGTCCCTAAATGCGTTCTCATGGTGTCCCTCATGAGTATCTCAGAAAAGCATATGTACACCAATCCTGTAATAAGTTTATTATTCTTAGAAAGTCACACTATGAGAGAGAGTAATCTGATACTAATATTATACTTCTCACTTTATTGCTAACACCAATGGCTAGTAAACCATATTTAGAACCCCCTCGGTTAATCAGTGTTGACACTGGAGGGATTAGGTTTCTGATGGCAGTCTCTCAGCTACATAGTACAGTATTGGAAATCTTGCACTATAGACTCAAAAAGAGCTTTCAAATTAAATACAATAAAATATTAACACATAATAAGTAATATGGCAGATTGCTAGCATAACTCCTTTTGTTTTGAATGTAATTATCTTGTTATGATATTAAGTGTCTTATTTTAGGAGAAACAACTCAGGATTCCTGGGTGGAAACTATACGCCATTACCCTTCACCATGGGCAGAATTTGAAACCGAGAACATTATCTTCACAGTTCCGTCTGATGTAGTCATTTCCTTGATGAACCCAAGTGAACCACTCTTGCTCTGGGAAAGGATCATGACAGCAGTTTTCGAGTTGTCTGGGCTTCCATCTCAATCTGACAGGCCTGAGAGATTTGTAGCCGACGTACAGATTACAGATGGTACGGCCCCTCCAAACTTCATGTAAATCTCCATTTTATTATTATTAAAAGAATTTTCCTCCAAAATTGTGTATTTAAAATACAAGTAATAATCCTTAAAATTGCACCTTAAGCACCAAAACAACTTTAGCTTAATGAAGCAATTTTAGTGTTTAATTCATACCCCTTCTCTCTCACTGTTCAATTCTCTGTCATTTAGGAGTTAAATCACTTTTATTTCTGTTTATGCAGCCCTAGCCACATCTCCCCTGGATGTCACGCAGCCAACATGAAATTTAAAAAAAAAATTCAATCAGATTCTAAAGCACAGTGTGTTTGCTTTAGAAGTTGATATCTCCTGCTCTTTTAATTGAACTTTAATTACACACAAGAGACTGTTTCAGGCTCTCACAAGCTATTAATAGAACAGGAGGTTAAGAACTCTAAATTAAACACACCATAAAGGAAGCTTAAACATTTTGACATTTTTCAGGAAGTGTGTATGGAGGTTGTCTGAGTCTCAGACAAGGGAAGTATTACAAATGCTGCATAAGCAAAGTGATTTAACTCCTAAATGACGGATAATTGCAGGGACATGGTCTATGCACCAAAACCACTACACTAAGCCAATATTTTTGGTGGTAAGACTGTCCCTTGAATTTTTTTGTTCTTGAAGATCAAAATAAAAGGCCTATTTACGTGGTTTTTAATGGTTATTTTTGTTTTGGAAATGTATTTAAATATTTATTTCTACCAAAGCATAAACAATTCCCATTAACAATTCCCATCAAATACATACCATTGTTCCAATTTGTGAGCTGCAGCACCACATATAGCTAGTGTTGGAAACACAGTTTAGGTGGAATGATGAACCAGGTATGACAGGGGTGCCCAAAAGGTACATCCCCAGATGGTTTGACACTACAGCTTCCATGATGCTTTGTTATTCTAAAGACATTCTAAAAGCATGCAAAGTATCATGGGAATTGTAGTTCTGCAACATCTGGGGATCTACTTTTTGGGCACCCCTGAGGTCTAACAAACTGTTTTATTGGAAAACAACATATTAACCAATATAATGTGCTCTGTTTTTCAAGGCTGGATGCACTCTGGTTATCCCATAATGTGCCATCTGGAGTCAGCTAAAGTTTTTCTAGATTATAATGACCTCTGCAAGGGAACGTGGGGTGCTACCCATGAACTAGGACACAACCAACAATTAAGTGAATGGGAACTACCCCCTCACACAGATGAAGCTATGTGCAACCTCTGGGCTATCTACACCCATGAAAATGTACTGGAGATCCTCCGAGCAGATGCACATTTTGAGCTGGAGCCCCAAAACAGAGAACAGAGGATTGAGAAACATATGGAAAGAGGTGCCCCGCTGGAAGAATGGACTGAGTGGCTCTGTTTGGAAACTTACCTACAGGTAACAAACCATACTGGGTATGCTATAGCTCAGCTCGTTATATTTTTTATGTTTAATGATACCACCAAAATATGTGTTAATTAAACAGGTATAAACATTTGCATGTATGAACATTTCATTTTGTGTGTCTCTTTTTCCCCTCAGCCCCTTTGTGTGTCTCTTACATCCCGTTGTAGCGTGGCCTCATGGACAGTGGCAGAGGATTTCTTTGTCCTCTATCTAGTCTGACAAGAAGCTTTTAGATCAGGCAGTTGATAAATAGGATTCTCTACTCCGGTCCGTAAGACCACGCTACATGGAATGACTGCTAGTAGGGGAGCCCTGTGCACCCCTCTCCTACCAGTCACCTGGACATTGCACGCCATGGATTGGTGCGCCCTAAGGCGGCTACTTGTGACACCGTGAGGTAGTGCTGGCCTGGCATCGCAGAGATGGTACTACAATAAAATCAGGAGAATGGCAGTTGTGCAACTCTCCTTTATATGTATTAATGCCTATTTTAAGTCTTAATGTGTAACTGGTGTTTGTTTATTAAACTGTGGTATACGGTGTTTGGACATTAATAACCTATGATAATTAAAATAATATGTATTTATATCTGTTTCTTCAGCTACAGGAAAGCTTTGGCTGGGGTCCGTACATCAAGCTGTTTTCCAATTACCAGAACATGGTGGGCATCAAGGATGAAAATATTTTCAAGATGAATCTCTGGGCTGAATTGTTTTCTCAAGAGGTTAAAAAAAATTTGGTTCCATTTTTCAAGACTTGGAATTGGCCCATTGATGAGCAAACATCAAAAATACTTTCCTTATTACCTGAATGGGATGAAAATCCAATGAAAAAATATATTGTGTAATTCTTCGTGTGGTTCAATACTTGAACCTGACATGCAGATAATCTAGAATTAATGTTTTGAAACAGTTCTATACTCAAAACACCATTTTCCTGTTTAGAATTTTACATAAATAAGTCATCTAAATTGTATAACATCTTGCTAGGTGGGATGATGTCTCATCTACACATTTGTTTCTTTGTATTGTGGGAGAATCAATAAAGCTAATTATATAACCCCATCACTGTTCTGTTCCACCAGTAACATCTTTAGACACACTTAGATCACTCTAGTACAGTATGCGTGAAAATGAAATAGATGTATTCACTAGGAAAATGTACACACCTGTGTGTGTCTGTATGAATGTTTCTCTGTATGTGTGTGTATGTGTGTGTGTGTGTGTTTGTATGTATGTGTGTGTCTGTATAGATGTGTCTCTGTGTGTGTGTGTTTGTATGTATGTGTGTATGTACAGTGGCACCGGGCCCATCATGTGTGTACAGTGGCATCCATACATTCATCCTATTAGTCATTACAGTGAAAAGCAGTGGCTTACACACGGTCCATGGGGCCCCGGTGCGAAAACTGATCCATTGGCCACATGTCGGAGGGCACACGGTCGAAGGGGTCCGCTGGGCGGCCGGGCCCCCTGGAGTGACGGGCCGGTGCCACTGTACACACACACATACATACAAACACACACAGAGAAACATATATACAGACACACACATACATACAAACACACAGACACATACATACACACATACAGAGAAACATTCATACAGACACACACACATATACAAAATATTTTAGTCACCCTCCTGTTTCCTACATTTTAGTGACTTCCCTGGGATTCAGTGGTGGCTCAGCCTGATGACTCCCTCCTCTCTTCCTTCCGCGCGGCTTCCGTTGTAAGCTGGGAGGAGTGACAGGGCAGTCACTTCTTGCCAGCTGTGATGTCATCAAAGGTGGGGCCCGGTCGTGCTGTTAAAGTGCCGCAGCACTGACCAGGTCCCCTGGAAATCCATAGCCATCGGGTGGCCCTAACTGTATGGGCCACTCGATGGACCCCTTAAAGTGCAGCCCTGGCAGTTATACCGTGACGGGCCCGGTCGCTGTTGCGACCCCTGTATGTATGCCACTGGTGAAAAGTGAAAGATAATTTGAAATCATGTGTTATGGGGGATTTAATGTTATAGGGTATTTGCTTTAAAGATGCTGTGGCAAAAAAACTCCAGTTTTCCTCAGAGAGGCAGAGTGATTGGAACTGCAATCCACAGCATCTTGAAACACCACTTTGCTAAACTTGGCTTTAATCCAGCTCTGTATACCGCACAATAATTACAGCCATTATTCTAAAAGGGTGCTATAATGGCATTAAGTTTGGAGTAACCCTGCATCTTTTTATCTTACTTCTTCTACATATCTCCCAACTTTGGCCTTCAAAGGGGTGTCACCAATGACACAAATTGCGTTACTGTTGATGCTCCTAAATAGGTGGGTACACTCACTGAAGGGATGGGTGAGTCTGAGGTCAAGCACACCAGGCTCAAGACAGTCTCTTGGCCAGCCCCGGCATAAGGACCATGTAGAGTGAATTGCTAAAGTGCTCTCTGCATGGTCCAATGATTTCTGCACAACGTAAGCTTTTCCAATTATGCGCTTTTATTGTGTTGCCCAGCAACAAGTCCCTGCTGTACCTGGATGCAGGTCATCGGGAAAGCGTAACAGCAGGACAAGACCCCAAACTTAAGACTGTCCTAGCAAAAGCTTGCAGACAAGATGCAAATTGTATTAAGACACAGAGGTTTCTAGTGTAATATTCTCTTAATAGCATAATACTCGCCTCCATGTGATTAATAAAATCATGACTTTTTAATAGTGATGTCCCGAACTGTTCGCCGAACGGTTCGCCATGAACGGTTCGCCGCGGACTCCAGTCAGCAGACACATTCCAGCCAATCAGCAGCAGACCCTCCCTCCCAGACCCTCCCACCTCCTGGACAGCATCCATTTTGAAGCTGCATTCTTAGTGAGCTGTTCAGGAGGTGGGAGGGTCTGGAAGGGAGGGTCTGCTGCTGATTGGCTGGAATGTGTCTGCTGCCTGGAGTCCGTGGCGAACCGCTCTTGGCGAACCGTTCGGGACATCACTACATGTTAATACTAAAATCTGGGAATTTACATATGCATTCACAGACATACACATGGTTACACTCCCCCTGACACATTGATCCCACCAGACACACGGATACACATTCAAAGATTCCATCTATACGCATGTATTCCAAAACACAGAAAAAAGCATTTGCAACACTAAGATTTAAAAAACACTGCCAGACATACAAAAATGCTCAGGTAAACATTGCTAGACAAACACATTAAAAGGCATACCCTGTTATACACTCAGATACACAATGTCACACACACATACAAATGATCAAAATACAAAGTGTGAATGATTATCTAAATTGTAAAAGAAAATGTGAAGCATTAAATAAAATCCCCTATCCACAAAATAAAAAAACACCTTTGGAGAATGCGGGCATCGATCCCGCTACCTCTCACATGCTAAGCGAGCGCTCTACCATTTGAGCTAATCCCCCTGAGAAGTATCTGAATCCATAAAATTTCAGGCATTCTTCATGTACCTAGCAATAACGCCAGCCAGAGGCAGAGAGATTTGTATAAATTCGAAGTACACATCTAGTTGCTGAGTTAATGGAAACCATAATGAAACTATTAGATGACCATCACTACAGATTTATCTAATATATTCACATTTTTCTTGATAAGCAAATATAGTATCCTTGTATATAAATGTATTATTTGTGATATATGAGCCAATAAAAAGAATTAATGTAGAAAAAAAATGTTCTCTATATAGAAAGCACAGTTTCAGCAGTAAAAAAGAAACAACCTGCATGATTATGTAGTTTCCCTGGTGGTCTAGTGGTTAGGATTCGGCGCTCTCACCGCCGCGGCCCGGGTTCGATTCCCGGTCAGGGAAGATTTATTTTTTTATTCTGCGACAATTTCCCTAATAAAATATTTTTTTTCCATATGTATAGTTTTTGTAACATCAACTCTGTAAAATTACACAATGAAAACAAAAATTTGTGTTAAAGTAAATGGCGCTGGGAAATCAGAAGCCTAGTGGATATGAATAACATTCAATAGCTTAGGTCGGCATATTAAAAGTAAAGATGGAAACAGCATTTTATTAATGTCTTGCGAATAACTATCTATTACATTAGTGATAAGAAAAAAAAAAAAAAATCTGCGTTGGCCGGGAATCGAACCCGGGTCAACTGCTTGGAAGGCAGCTATGCTCACCACTATACCACCAACGCCACATGATGACATTTTCTCACATTTCCCTTTTTGAGTTTCCAAAAGGTGATACTTTGCCCACAAGAGATATCTTTCCTCCAGATGATTGATTCAGAAAATCTCAAGGCTGGTCCTTAACACTGTCATATATTGTTTATGTGCAAGTTACTAGCTACTAGCTAGACACAGGTAGATCAGTCGGTGTATAGATTTCTGTAGGGAGACACAGTTAAAACATAGTTCACTAGAGCTTTATAGAGAAAATGACTTGAAATAGTAATAAACAAAATAATATATTGAATGACTTCTCTGTGATATATAAATGTCTAGATCAGCCAAATTCAGTGTAACAGACAACACACAATGATATACAGGTATGTCCTGCCATTCCATCCAGCTCTCCACCTCCCTCTGCACAGCCTGCCATTCCATCCAGCATTCCACCTCCCCCTGCACAGCCTGCCATTCCATCCAGCATTCCACCTCCCCCTGCACAGCCTGCCATTCCATCCAGCATTCCACCTCCCCCTGCACAGCCTGCCATTCCATCCAATATTCCACCTCGCAGCCTGCCATTCCATCAGCATTCCACCTCCCCCTGCATAGTCTGCCATTCCATCCAGCATTCCACCTCCCCTTGCACAGCCTCCATCCAGCATTCCACCTCCCCCTGCACAGCCTGCCATTCCATCCAGCATTCCACCTCCCCCCTGCAGCCTGCCATTCCATCCAATATTCCACCTCCCCTTGTGCAGCCTGCCATTCCATCCAGCATTCCACCTCCCCCTGCATAGTCTGCCATTCCATCCAGCATTCCACCTCCCCCTGCTCAGCCTGACATTCCATCCAGCTCTCCACCTCCCCCTGCACAGCCTGCCATTCCATCCAGCATTCCACCTCCCCTATGCAGCCTGTCATTCCATCCAGCATTCCACCTCCCCCTGCGCAGCCTGCCATTCCATCCAGCATTCCACCTCCCCCTGCGCAGCCTGCCATTCCATCCAGCATTCCACCTCCCCCTATGCAGCCTGTCATTCCATCCAGCATTCCACCTCCCCCTGTGCAGCCTGCCATTCCATCCAGCATTCCACCTCCCCCTGCATAGTCTGCCATTCCATCCAGCATTCCACCTCCCCCTGCATAGTCTGCCATTCCATCTGCTTCAATAGGTAATTGGCAAGCCTGTGTCTGTCACCCCTGCTATGGCAGTGTCTTTGGGGGATGGGAGAGGGCCCCTCGCCACAGCTGTTTTACCCGTTGAGGGTCATCCCACTACTTTCCTAGTAGACACAGGTGCAGCCCGCAGTGTTCTTAGAGAACAAGACCTGCCTGACCCATCTTGCTTATCAGACACCGATGTCTCCTGTGTTGGTGTTGATGGCACCCCCCGCAGTAATCCACTAACTAAACTTCTCCATGTGGGTTCTGATATCCTTTCCCGGTTCGTTGTATCTTCCACATGTCCCATTAATCTTTTGGGTGCTGATGTTCTGTCCCGCCTCCAAGGATCTATCACCTTCACTGCAGATGGCCAGGTCCAATTAAATACACCTATGTCACGGAAAGACACTTCTGTCCTTTGTTCCCTTCCCATATTACTACATCTCATGTCTCCTATAGGGGAATCAAGGGTACCTCATGCCCCCAGTGCTCTGGACAGAAACCCTACAAATCTTTGGTCTACAGGCCCTGATGATATTGGCCGCCTCAAAGTCCCTCCAGTCGTGGTTACACTTCTACCAGGAGCTGCACCACCACAAAGACCTCAATATCCACTGAAACCTGCTCAGGCCCTCGCCATCTCTAAGCAGGTGGAAAGCCGCTTGGCCAAGGGAGCCCTTGTCAAGTGTGTATTGCCATGTAACACTCCTCTCTTCCCTGAAAAGGGTCTACCTGATTAATATTGTATGGTCCAGGATCTACGCGCTGTTAATGATGTCACAGTCAAGGATACAGCTGTTGTTCCTAACCCACATACCCTGCTGTCACAAGTTCCACCCACTGCCAAATTTTTTACTGTGGTGGATCTTGCCAATACATTTTTCAGTGTACCCCTGGACCCATCCTGCCAACACCTTTTTGCCTTTACCCATGAAGGCCAGCAATATACATGGACTGTCATGCCTCAGGGGGCTCAAAATTCCCCCACTCAGTTTGCATGTACCATGTCAATGGTCCTTGAACCCTGGCAGAAGACTCACACAGACGTTGTCTTGCTTCAGTATGTTGATGACTTACTCCACTGCGCTGCTGATCTTCACACTGCTGAACGTGTCTCTGAGGACCTGCTATGCTTCCTAGCTGAAGAAGGCTGCAAGGTCTCTAAGTCAAAACTCCAGTGGTGCCGGTCCTCTTGGTCTTCTTGGGACATTGTCTTTCCCATGGCACCCGCCACCTCACCAACAACAGGATCCTAGCCATCTTGAGTCTACCAACACCTTCAGCTCATCAGTCTCTCCATGCCTTCTTAGGCCTCATCATTTATTGCAGATCTTGGATTCCCGAAGCCTCTCAACTGATGCAACCACTGTATGATGCTCTCAAAAGCTAACTTTTTTCACTTCCACCTCATGCCCTTGCTTGCTTCACCGCCCTGAAGAAAGCAATTGCCTCTGCCCCTGCCTTGGGCCTACCCAATTACCAGTTGCCCTTCAAGCTGTTTGTCTCTGAGAAGTTGGGCCACGCCTCTGGGGTCCTTACTCAAGCACATGGATCCAGACAAAGACCCATTGGCTATTTTTCCTGCATGCTTGACCCCGTTGCCAGAGGCAGTCCTTCCTGCCTACGGGCAGTGTTTGCTGCTAGTGCCTTGTTGGACAAGACCAATGACTTTGTCCTTGGTCATTCTCTGACCGTTCTGGCTCCACATGATATTTCTGCTATTCTGCAACAAGTCCAACCAAAGCACCTCTCTTCCCAATGACACTTACACCTACAAACTTCCTTGTCACTGCCTGACAATGTCACCCTTCAATGTTGCTACTCTCTTAACCCGGCCACTCTTCTGCCACTTCCCAAGGGGGGAGTGGCACAGTACTGGTACAGTTTGGACATCACCCCAGATGCTCGGATGGAATTTCAACTACCCACTCATACAGCTCTACATGATGTGCAACCAGACAACCTGTTACACTGTACCCTGTGGTTTAAAGACTCCCCAGGCCCTGATGCGGATTATGAAGAAGAACTGTTCCACCTTGTGGAAATTCACATCACATTGACAGACTTACTATGGGACTCCAGAGGCAACATGGTCCTGCTGGTACACCTCCCAACAGAAGTATCTCATCTCTACCGCCACTGGGAGATGGCTGTCCCACATATATCCTTCACCAAGTCTCCTGATCTCTCATGGAAAGACCTAGGCCCAATGGCCAAGTCCTGGAGTACAACAACTCAAGAACAACTTGAACTAATGGGAATAACCAAGAAGATTATCAACTGCAGTACAGTTGGCTATCCACGATACCATACAGAGATATGTGAAGATCTCCCTCCCATGGAACAAGATTCAGAAGCCCCCCATGATTGCTTTGAACAAATGAAGATGGAAACCACCCACCTTCCAACTGTACATGAAACTGCCCTACCTAATCCAGATCGGATATTGTTTGTGGATGGTTCCAGATTTGCTGATGAACAAGGACAATATCACACTGGATATGCAGTTACTACAGAATGCCAGATACTACAAGCAGCTGCACTTCCACCAACGAAATCAGCCCAAGAAGCCGAGCTGACAGCCCTTACAGTGGCCTGCATATGGTCTGCAGGTTTACGTTTCAACATCTATACAGATTCAAGATATGCCCTGGGGGTGGCACACGATTTTGGCCTAATTTGGAAAACCAGAGGGTTCCTTACAGCCGCAGGTACCCCAGTAAAGCATGGGGCAGCCATTGAAGAACTGATGGATGCCTTGATACTGCCAGCAGAGGTGGCAGTGTTAAAGGTAAAAGCCCACAGAAGGTTGAATTCAGAGGAGGCACGAGGCAACCATTTTAGCTGATCAAGCTGCCAAGGAAGCAGCACGACAAGGGTGGAAAGTGGACAGAAGAGTGGCCACCAAAACAACTCCCATCTATACCATGCAAACCTTACCTACAGATCTCAGACTTTTAAAGGAACAACAAGCTACTGCAACCCGTCAAGAGAAACAAAGTTGGAAGAACAGAGGGGCAATTCTCCGAGATGATGTCTATACCATCAATCTTAGGTTCTGCTTACCCAAGAATATGTATCCAGCTGTTGTCCAATGGGCCCATGGGCCAGCCCATCTGTCAAAACATCTGATGAATACCCTAATTGATAAATACTTTGAAGCACCAGGCATTACTACTCTGACACAGAACTATTGTAGGTCCTGTACAATTTGTGCCAAATGTAACCCCGGGAAGATTGTTAAAACTGCACCCAACCATCTGGCCAAACCACAATATCCCTTCCAGAGGATACAGATAGACCACATCCAGATGTCAAAGAGCGGGCGGTATGAATATGCACTAGTCATTGTGGACATGTTCTCAGGATGGCCAGAAGCCTTCCCCGTGGCCAATCTCACTGCAAGAACCACGGCTAAGCATCTTCTGACAGAAATTGTCTGCCGGTACGGAGTCCCAGAAGTGATTGAGAGTGACCAAGGAACTTCCTTTACCGCCTCATTGACACGGGAAGTCTGGGCAGCACTGGGGGTGACCCTTGCCTTCCACACACCATGAATGCATGAATGGCACATTGAAGGCCAGAATGCTCAAAATGTCCCAAGAAACTAATATGCCCTGGCCCGAGAGTCTCCTATTGGCATTGTTCAGTGTACGATACACTCCTAGGGGGAAATACAGCTTATCTCCTTATGACATTTTGTTCGGTACAGCACCAAGGTTAGGTTGTTATTTTCCTCAATAGCTTCAGATTCAGTCAGATGCTATGGTAGATTATGTAACTGCTCTCTCTCATGCCTTGACCAAAATCCATGCCCAAGTGTTTTCTTCTATTCCAGATCCTGAGTCGAATACAGGTACACACAAGTTGCTTCCAGGTGACTGGGTTATGGTCAAGAAATTCCTCAGGAAACATACTCTCGAACCAAGATTCGATGGCCCTTACCAAGTGCTGCTAATCACGGCTACCTCAGTAAAGGTGGCGGGAAAAGTTCTTGGATACACGCCTCACATTGCAAGAAAGTGCCTGCTCTAGAGGAAGCAGCCCCTGTTGAGTCATGAGTTTTCTGTGCTTCCTGTGTTTTCATTTGCTGCTAACCATCACAAGGGCCCAACAAGTTGACATAACCAAAGATATCCATGTTTACACCTTTTGGTACAATTCCTCAAACACAGATGTGGCTACATTTACCTTTGATTATTGTGATATTGTTGTTTGCACTTTCCCACAAACACAACATGCTGCTATATACAAAGACATACCTGACAAGAAGGACCCATACATTTGTGTGACTGGAGGGTCCTGGGGACATCATTGTAGTTCCTGGAAAGTGGCTAGATGGAATACTGGTAGACCATGGGGATATAAACCCCAATGTGCCCTAGAAAGAGTTGACAAAGATGGGAAACCCCTACTCTCTAGGATGACCTTAAGTAAACCTGTTGGGTCAACCCCAATCAAACTCACCTTGAACATAGAGCACCCCAGTCCAGGGGATGCAGGGGAATATGTAATGGGCATGTACTGGCAGGGTGGTGGCTCATATAACAAGTTGGGGACATTCTTCCTGCAAGACATGCTCACCTCACCTGACTGGGTAGGTACATCTCACATGACTATCAACCCACTTAAA